ATTTTCCACAATTAATCCGTGAAATGTATTTCCAAGAGGTATCACAAGTAGGTATCATCTCCATAGGATCCAAAAAAGATTAGATAGTTGTATGGGAATCAGAACATGGTTATGCTAAATGGAATTCCAAAAAATAAATAAATTAAAAAAAATTGGAAGAGATATAGCTTTATATTTAATGACACTCTGTAATAAATCTATACCAGGGGTGTCAAACTCATCTGGGACCCTTGGCTGATTCAGGGCTGTGAGGCTCCTTGCAGGCCAGATCCAATCCAGGGCATGAGGACTCTTGTAATGGCCACAATGGCAGCAGCAGCATGGTGCAGGGTCAAGTGGTGGGGGCAGTACAGTATCTGGCATGAGGCAGCATTGGTGCAGGGTCTGATAGGAGTGGTAGCAGCAGTGGGGAGGAAGTGGTGCAGGGACTGCAGTGCAAGCTCCAGAAGGGGTGGGATGAGGGGTGGTGCAGGGTTCAACAAATGAGGGGGGAGCACAGGGTCTGATGGAGGCCAGGGCATAGTGCAGGGTCTGGCAGCTGCTGAAGTACTGGGGGCACAGGAGTGCAGGGTCCAGCAGAGAGAAACCTGGCTTGCCACCAATGGCCATGTCCAGTGAGGCCAAAGGGCCCAACTTCTAGTTCTAAACTTCGTTTAGTTGTACACTGTCCTCATAGGATTTTTCACACCTTTACATGTAGCATCTGATACTTACTAGCATTTGGTAAAGGATTCCAAGCCACAGTGACAAGTAGTTTGATCCAGGCCCATGTATCTATCCCTCAATCTGACTCTCAATTTGTATATAGCTTCCTCTCTTTACCTCTGAAAACCACATGCATTTTTGCAAAATTCTCACTTAATTAAAGCAAAAATGAGCAAAAAAGTGAGTTCTATTTCACTTCCTATACTACTACCATTTATATTTGAGAAAATAATGTAAGCAACCATCTTAAATTCACTTGTGGCGTCAAATGTTATAGTTTGTTTAGTACGTCAGCACCGAATGCTAATTAGAGTGAAATCATCTGGACATTTAAAGGCTATTAAATTCTACAGAGTATCATTAACATATTTTACTGGGTTTGTAAAACAGCATTATTAAACAAATATATTCATAATTGTCTGAGTTCACACACTTATATTACCAACAAACAAGGAAATAGTTTATAAGTTTTACTACACTTCTTTTGTTGTAGGTTGGGAATGGGTGTAGAGTCTTACTAAATTCAGAGTGCTCTATACTGATGATGTCCTATTCAGAATGTGTCAGACTTGAAGGTTTCAGCTCACATCAGTTTACGTGCATTTCCTTGGTTTATTGTGAATAATTTCATACCACTGAGTTTCTTTTTTGAATGATTTGCATTCAGTATGGCAGAGACAACATTCAAAACAGTTCGTAAGTTTCTGTTAAATGTATTCTGCACAATTTGCAAGCAGTGACTGAAATTAACAAGAGTATGTTCAATCAGGAAGACCAGCCTTATGACCAACTGCCACAAGTTTCATTATGAACCTAAAATGGAGTACTGAAACTATTCTTAAAGAATCCCTGCCTAGGTAGGGGTGACAAAATTCTCCTTCAAATTTTCCTGAAAGTACTATGAGTAAAAATAAGTTTCTCACAAAATGTGGATATTTTCTTTCCAATATTGAGTTCCACATGGTTTGCCATTTCTCTTTAGATACCATAATTTTAAAAATACATATCACAGCTCCCTTCAATGATTTAACCATGAGGTGAATTCAAATAAGAATATATTCAATTGAGAACAATTGGGTTAATTTGCTATAATTAAGTCCTGTGGGAAATGAAGTGACTTTTCTGTCTTTGTATTTTTTCTTTTTATCTCATTTTTAAACATCGCACCTAAAGATTTGCTGCTTTAGAAGTAGTCACTCTCCATTTTTATTTCATTAACTCACAACTTCTATAATCACCTTCCCCAGACACTGTGTTGCAGTGACCCTCCTCCTCTCTGTAATCACCTTACCCAGACACTGTGTTGCAGTGACCCTCCTCCTTTCAGAAGAATCTAGCAATCTGTTAGTGCTGGTAGAAGTTGAGTGTCTTCGGAGTAAAGCAAAGGGTTTTTCCTTTGAGTGGTGAAGAAACTTGCTATCTCGGGAGCACTTCCAACCCCTGCTTGCTAAGGAAACACCTCAGTCCTTCTCAAAGAGAAATCACTTCCTGCTCTTTAACTGATATGTTAGGAGATAAAGGTTAAGTAGAATAAAACCTCTTTTGTATAGATTTTAATACAACTCAGGTCCCAAAATGTTTTGTACAGTTAAGTGACATTGTGGGGTTAGGAAAAGCCTTATAAAGATGGATAAATTGGGTATTTTTTTAATAATACGTTATCTGACTTGCTTAACCCATGGAAGTGAAATTGCCATTCTTTTTAAGAACTGATTAATGAAGTTTATTTATTAATAGAAAACATTTCAAGACTTTAAAAAGACTTATATATAGTCTATACTTACCTGTATATTTATCTGTATGTCCTTTTTGGTATCTATATATGGAAAGAGAGAAGCGTCAATAGGAAATAAAAATGCTATAATGAAAGCACAAACTTCACAATCAGTTGCATTGTAAGCAATATGAATTAAATAGTCCACAGCTGTAGTGATATAAATCTGTTTTTTTTGTTTTTAGCCTAGCTTGAAGAATTCCAAAATCAGTAGAGCTGGGAGACTGCTGAATATTTCTGTGTATTTTTAAAGGGCCCTGTGCATTTATTACTGTATGGAAAGAACTATCATTAGAAATGAGTTGCAAGTCCATACTTAGCCAGTAGGGCTGTGCAAAGCTTTGGAACAAGATTTGGATTTGGCGATGATTTGGAGGCCAAATCTATTAATCCAAATTGAATCGCTAGAAGCTTTAGGCTTTCCGAATCAATTTGGAGCTTCCGAATCTATTTGGAAAAGATTTGGTGATTTGGAGATTCAGCCATTGGGTATAATGGGGAATCAATGAAATATCTATAACTTTGTTGTTTTTTGTCTGGTTTGCATTAAACTTGCAGGGGTGGTAGACCCTGCTGAGGGGGTTTCTGGGAAACTGCACCTTAAGCTGCTGACAAGTAAAACTCATGACATGAGTGACACTCTGTGTGTGTTAAGGCACAGGGGGGTGAAAACTGCAGACTGCTAGCCCCTACTGCAGCCACAAGGCCTGCCAGCTGTCAAGGAAAGCTACTGTGGGGTGAAAACTACGGGGATGGTAGCTTTTGCTGAGGCCATAAAGCCTGCCAAGTTTCAAGTAGATAGGTGCAGGGGTTTCTGGGAAACTGCACCTTAAGCTGCTGACAAGTAAAACTCATGACATGAGTGACACTCTGTGTGTGTTAAGGCACAGGGGGGTGAAAACTGCAGACTGCTAGCCCCTACTGCAGCCACAAGGCCTGCCAGCTGTCAAGGAGATAAGTGCAGGGACGGTCTGGGGTCCTGCACCGCTGGCCTCAGGCAGGCAAAACTCATGACATGTGTGCTTGTGGAACTGTGTGTGTGTTCAGATGTGCCCTTCCTGGTGCTGGAGCCTCTGAACAACATGACAGTGTGACTCCGTGAGGTGGCCTCCTCCCTTACAGCCTTGGCTTGGTCCACCACTGTAAACGACGACAGGTCAAAATAACTGAGCTGGCTTAACACCAATAGCACCAGCAGCATCAAAGGTATCCAGATGGGACTGTCACAGAGCCTTTCTTTTTATAAGGGAATTGACAGCAAGAAATAAAGATGTTGTGTTGGATATATGCTACTCGTGGTGTGTGATGGATTATCTTGTGTTTTTATGTTTATATGTTATGTTTATGTTTATTATGAAAAAACAGAAATAGAAAAATATATCTTAGAATATATCTTAAAATATATCATGCCCTCATGAGAGGCTACCAACCCTGTAAGTTTCATCCAAATCATCCAAAAGACAACAAAGGTATAGATATTTCATTGATTCCCCATTATACCGTATGGCCGAATCTCTGAATCGCCAAATCTTTCCCAAATCAATTCAGAAAAGTGATTTGAATCTTTAAATTGAATTGACCGAATCCGAATTGGCTGAATCCAAATAGGATAGTTGCCTGTTTGCACAGGCCTGTTACCTTTAGGAATCTGCAAGTGCAACCTGTCTGCTTAGTTATATTATGAACTGCTAGAAACCACCTTATTTTGTCATAAATTCCAGAAGTTTTGCCTCCAGACATTACAGTCTTACCACTTAGGTTGCTTGTGCTATACTATTAATACAAAAATATTGTGGGTAGAGGATGCTGCTATAAAAAAAAAAAGCATGATAATCGTGATGAGAAGCATCTCATTAAGATATAGTAGAAATATCAAAATATCTAACCTAACTTCAACTTCATGTTAAAACTACTAGTAACACTAGTAACTAGTTAGTAGTGATGCTAGTAATATTTTTTCTAGAATATATCACATTCAGTGTTTTACTATTCCAGATGATTTTGCATTCTTCAACTTTTTCAACTAAGCTATATTAAATATTCATTTAAAAATTAAAACATTAAAATCATAATTTTAAATCCATTTGGGGCTTTCACTTAATTTAGAAACATTTTGGTATAGTGGGGTCAACTGTCAAGGTCAGAACCAAGACCCCAGTCTTGCAAACACCATGCTGTGTGTAATATAAAAACACCAGGTCTTTAAGACTGCTTGTGACCTTGATATTAACCATGATCCTAAAGGATTACAGGATGAGGGAAAATATGAGGGGAAAAACTCATGTCATGTTTTCAGACTTTACTTTTTTGTTTTGTGTATTTTACTTATCATTTCTACAATGCCATATGCTTCTAATGAGGCCTGAAAACCTTACAAAACCATAGCTCTTCTTACATAATGTATTACTAAGGCATAATAGTGCATATATTTATGAAGTAATGAACGTGTGTAACTTTAATTTTTAAAGTAATTTAGCTTTAAATTCTTCCCTGTTTTTGTTTTGTTTTAATGTTCCCCTAGGAACCAACTTCACCCTGGCAGAACTTGGAATCTGTGAACCCTCTCCCCATCGAAGTGGTTACTGCTCAGACATAGGAATACTTCATCAAGGTTATTCCTTGAGTACTGGGTCTGATGCTGACTCAGATACAGAGGGAGGAATGTCTCCAGAGCATGCTATAAGGCTGTGGGGAAGAGGAATAAAATCCAGGCGCAGTTCTGGTCTCTCGAGTCGTGAAAATTCAGCCCTTACACTGACTGACTCTGACAATGAAAATAAGTCAGATGAGGAAAATGGTAGGCCTCTTTCTTTTACTATATGTCATAATATACCTGTGTAAGTGTGAAATGTAAAGATGCCCCAGAATTGTATATATATAACCGAGAGTATGTTTTATATTATTATAAACATTACTAGATCAGACATTATAGCATAAACATAACTTTCACTTTTTAAATGCTGTTTCTATACTCTAGAGAACTCGTGACCTATATCTAGAAAAGCATTCAGTAAGTTCTTAGGTATTGGTTTTGATAACATTTCTCATTATGATGTCTTCCAAATACTAGCTTTTTATGCTTCAATCTAGATAGCAATACTTTGCATGCATGTTGTCCACCAAACTTCAGGTAGAATCTGTGGACGTTAATTTTATAATGTCAGCAGTGAACAAACTTGTCAGGGGAAAAAATGTATGTGATATTTATATAAAGCATGAAATAAGATGAATAGTTTTCAGTATACTAACAGCATATAAATTGTCAAATGTAATTGGAGTGGATTTGAGTCCTGTGGGCATATTTTCATGAAATTATTAAGCTTTATATGTATCAGAGGTGGTTAATCATTAAAGGTAAGTATACAAGAGGTTCTGTTAACCAGATCTGTGCGTCAAAGTGATATGTACCTATATCTGTTTAATATAGTTTCTTATCTTTTTAACTAAAACAGGGAAAAAAAGATAAATTACACAATGCAGAACCAATGCATGAAAAACACATGGGCATTGTTTTGTACTACTTGAGCTAATTGCCCCTTGAAATGTTTACAAACCATTTAAATATTTTCTTATAAAGCAATTTTAAATTTGTCACAGCAAAACTGTGTGACTACATTTTTTTAAAAATAGAGCTGGTAAAGAGCTTGCTGTGAGGAGCAGTGCAGAGCATCCATTAATTCTCCATCCTATGGTGTGGGCAGAGAAGGAGCCCAAGTCACTTTACAAAATGAAACAAAACCAAGTTTAATTCTAAAGTGAGCTATTTTAAGAAGATAAGGAGAAACCCCAACAATGCTGCCATATAAAGCAGCTGCTTGACACCAGCTACTGTAATAGATTCCCTTTTACACTATCTGTTTCATTTAAAACTGTACTTTTATGGAACATTCAGCTATTTCAGTTACTCATCAGAAGAGAGTCTTTCTTTCTTTTTTTTATTCTAAGCTTTTTTTTACCTGACTTGAATTCTTAATATATTAAAGTGATAGTCTTTCATTCTTTCTTTTTTTTTCAATCTCAAGAGTGCCAATGTGTTAGTCATATACAAAGAAAGCAAACAGTTGTGTAAGAAAGCAAACCTATTCTAGCCAGTGATTTGATTTGCTTTAATGCTGTCATTAAAAGAGTGTTTTCAGGGGACCAAATGTCACTTCTGTCAGCATCCTCAGTGATCTGACCCAAAGTCCACTGAAGACAATACAACCATTGACTTTAAGGAGGCTTTGCATGAGGGTCCATATATTCAGTACTTCAAATGAATGTATGTGGACTACTGAAGTTTTGTCTTAGTACAATTGATCTCAGTCTTTGGGCTTGCCATCTAATTTTATTGAGATCAATGTTTGTTTCATTGACCTCAGTGGAAGCAAGATTTAACTTGCAACGTTTTTCACCATTTGAACATATCTATGCAGATATCCCTGGTTTTGATCAGATAATGGATTTCTTTTTAGTTGTGCTTTTTATGAAATACCAACTATTATGAATTTGACAATAGATAACAATGAATGAATTTCGAAAAGGTAATTTTTGAAATTGTAATGTTAACTAAATAAGGAAAGACATGTAATGAAATACAGGCAAAGTACAAGGGATACGTTAATTTAATCTTTAATGTTCATTATTAGCATTTTATTTAGTAAGGATTTCATGACATATGTTTGTATGTTTGCTTATAAAATATTCACACAAATTTGAAATAACTATTTTACAAGCAGAGGTGTTAACTTGAGTAAATTTTTTTTAGGCTTTCTGTCTGACAAACCCTGTTTAGCTCAGGAAAATCAATGCTTTTTCACATCACTGATTTTATGAAGTTTGGGGATGTATTATCATATAGATTGACAGTTGCCCCACTGGTTCAGTACCACAGCGTGGACACTTACAAAGCCATCATTAATTTCTCACGCTTGTGCCCAGCAATGGTTTCCTACATAATAAACACTGTGTCCTTCAGAACCAAATCAATAACCTGTTAGGTATGCTTCTCTTGAAGAGGAAGTAACAAGAATCTATACTTTAAGAGAAATGCACTCTCCAATACAATTTAAAGTATTCAGGAGATAGAGGCATAAAACAGACATTTCTCTGAATGGAATTTTATTCTTTTGCACCTAACCACATTAGGTGAACTCATGATGCATAGATTTCATTGAATTTATTTAAAGTACTGTGTGCTCTCTTTTCCTGACATGGTTCAGTTCCTGCGTTACAACATACTATTTCAGCTGTAAAAAGGTGACATTTTTTAGACTGAGCTGCTAATCACAAATGATATCATTCTACCTCAAAATAATAAACTCAATTTTCATTTAATATTAAATCGGTTTTGGCATTCACTACTTTTCCACATAGTATAGAAAAAGCTTAATTGCCATAAATCACTTTTCAAGATTTTGCACTAATTCAAAACCATCTACAGAGCTTATGACCACTTGCTTCATTTTTAGAATTGGTATAATTCTGTCTTAAATCAGAATTATGTGAGCCTTAAAATATTAGCAAGTTTGAACCGTCTGTTGATCAATGAAAAATAATATAAACTGATCATGCTAAGTATTTCCTGACAGAAAAGCATATTGAAGATCCATTTTGAAAAGTAACACTTTTATTTTTACAGTTCTGACTATTTATCTTATATTAGATCTTGAAATTCAGTATTGTATCTTCAAATATAACTTTTACTGGTGACTGCATGTTGCCATCTGTTTTTGAGAGAAAGCAATATAGACTATAGAAGGGCAAAATATAGAATATAGAAGGGCAAAACTGTATAGAATATAGAAGGGCAAAACTTGAAGTCCTTGGTAACCCTGATCAGTTCAGTTCTGAGCTTCTTGTCATCTGAATCATTATAAGTAGCTTATCCAAAAATGATCAATCAAATTAATTTTTTTTAGAAACATATCTCACGTATGATATATCATAAGGTTGATAAGCAGAGAAGAATAAGCTTTTTGAAACCACAAGTATGTTGTATAGGCTATTAGGATCAAGTGGATCTTCAGTGTTGACCTTCATTTTAAGTAGTGTTGTTGACTTAAAAGTGAGGTACAACTCACTATATATAAGTATAGAGAATATGGTCCTTAAAGCATATGGGTCAGAACTTAGATGTTCTAAATCTGTGTACCTCCAGATATGTCCTCTAATATCAAAGGACAGTACTAGTTTATACCCAGCTGATCTTTTGAATGAATTAACCCTGGTTTGGAGTTACAGAATTGTGTCTTGTTCCTCATGTGCTGAACTATTCATATGAGTGAGGTTGCATATTTAGGCCTTCATATTCTATTTTGTGAAAGCAGAAAAGATTAACCTTAGAAGTAGTTTGGCTAGTAATGAAAAAAATGCATGCTGAAAGGATCATTAACATTTGCTTGATGTATCAATACTGTAAATTGTTTAATCCAAAATGAAGAGTTAATTCCCTTCCCCTACCTCTCTAATAAAGACTATAATTATACTTCTTATTTACAAGATGAATGGAAATTTTGATTAGTATCAACTCCTATTATTGTTCTGTGATCGGGAGGTTAAAAGAGTCTGCAAAGTGATTATCTAAACTTGTGCATGGCCTACTACACTGATGGAATGCAGAAACTAACTTTCCTTGTTAAGGGTCTAAAATGGCCATTGTGGCACCTAAGAACTTCTGGAGTACAACAATGTTCTGACCAACCTCTATATTTGCAAAGTGGCAAAAAAATAACAGAATGGAACTGGCTACACTAGCTTTATGATACATGGATTTTTCTCCAGGAATAAATCCTTAGCTAGTTGAGTTGGTTTATTTGTACCACCAAAATATAAAATGTATGCTACTCAAGTTCCTCTACAGCGCCATATCAAGGTCTTTCCTGTTAAGTAGCATTTTGAACCAAGTAATATCTTGCTAGTAATCATGGTTCTCAATGTATCATGAACATAGTTATCAAGAGAACAATCAGCAGCCGTCTTGAAAACAAATCATTTTCATGTTTACGGGTAGAGTTCAAACACCACTTTCAAAGGTAAGGAATAGACGTTAGATGTAACGTATGTTTGGGAGCAGTCAGCTGCCCTTCTTTCTTACTGGGATTCAGTTTCATAGTGTTATTAGATATGCGGTGTTGGATATCACGGAGGTAGCAAGATCAAACTTTCATTAAGGTGATTAGCAGGAAGAGCTAAACAAACCTGAGTGGCAGTAGCATAACAAAGAAAACATAGTCTGGAATGATAGAAATAGGAGATAGCATGTAGTGTCAAGTGGAGACTAGTAGTGTGTCACAACAGATGCTGAAATGAACAAGTAGAATGCAGATATACCTACAAGGAAAATCTTTCAAGATGTGGATTTAAATAAAATTAAATTATATCATTATAATGAGAATAACTAATGACAGTGTAAAAGATGACAGTGGCATGCTACCTCATGTAGAACTGATGTCTTCTTTTTTTCAGGGGTATTATAATAATGCACCTGCATGTCAAGTCACCGAGTTAAGGTGACCGTATTTGGTTTTAGCTGTTATTCTTCTACATTGGCACCTTGACTATAACTAATGTTATCAATGGGAATAATAGAATGTAACATATCGTTGTATTTTTTCACAGTGCAACTTCTATTTGGCATTACAATAAAACATCAAACATTTCAGATTTTTTTTTAAAACGTCCTCCCCCTTTTCTCATGTATGTGTCAGAAAGAATATGTATATAATACATTTAAGAGTAAAGGCAGGAACAAAAAGAGGAAAATTAACCTATATCAAACTTAACTAGAGCAAGGAAAATATTTCAGTGTTTTACTATGCTAATCTGTGCTTGCATGCATTTTAAACATGTTCACTATACTATGATTAAAGATAATTACATGTGTATAAACAAGGATCTACAGATAGGGATTGATTGTTGTTTTGAACCCTCAGATGTTGTGGCAATAGATTGAGGGACTCTAGTTGGGGGGATAAAGGAACTTGGTGAATGTTGAGGTATCACATCTGTTTACAGGTTGATGGGAAGTTGTGGCCCAGACCTTTTTCTATGTTGCTTTCAAACCTTTGGTTGACTTTGCACCCCATTCTGAGTGAGGCTAGCTTTTGCACAGAACCTTTGTAAGCATGAGTATTGGCTCAGAAGCTCTTCTCCTGAGTTCCCAGTGCTTCAAGTTCGTTGTTCCAAGAAAAGCCACCGGGCTTCCTTATCTCAGGAGTTTCAGATTGCAATTGTCATAAAGTTGCCTACCATGTGTTTTTTTTCCAAGTCTGATAACTTAGGAGGTGTTCAGTCCAGTCACAGCCCCCCCTTCAACTCCCTGGACTTGGATATCTGCTAATTTCCTTCCGTTATGAGATTCTGAGGCTCTGCCACTCCTTACACCCCAGCCTTACACCACCTTGATGTTTAGTGTCTTGTCAGATAAATTGCTTGTCCATGCTGTCACGATCCTGTTTTCTTTCAGATTCTTCAGACCCAGTGTATGCCCGTCCGGTCTCCCTTTGGTGTGTCCAGTACCCCAGTTTTTCAACTATTGGCTCTCGGCCGTATCGAAATTGCATGTAGCCTTATCCATATATCACCTTCCTGTTGAATCTTAAAGTTCAGCAAACTATAATCTAACTCCTAAATTATAAGGTGCAGTTGTGGCACTTTATCTACCTGAAGGCTAGTGGCAATGTAAAGTACTGGGTACAGAAACCTAAGGAGCTTGGCAGGCAAGGGTTCATGCTGATCAAATTTTTTTTAGCTAGAAACCTCTATGTCCTGCAGCCCACTTAGCATTTCTTTGCTACTTTGTTTCAGACATCCTCTCTGTTTGCCTTCTGATAGCAAGCTTTAGGAGGGAGATTCTTGCTCTTGTACTAACTGTGTACACCCCCTCTTGCTCCTGCTCCAGAACACTCTCACCAGATTTGTGGGACCACGGGAGGTTTCTGCTCTGCCTCCCTTGGGGCTCTGTACTAGTCTCCACACTCCTCCACTGCAGCAGAATCAACTGAACCTACCGATTCCTCTGTCTCTCGCCCTCCCTGAACTGCTGTTCTTGCCCCTTTTGAATTGCTGAGCATCCCCATGTGCATGTGAGCTGCTTCTTGAAAAGGAGGCGGGGCACCACCTCTCACCCTTTCTGGTGTTGCTCCAGCTGCTTTCCAGGCTGCTTCAGCCACCAAGGACAAGGTAAACTTTTCTTTAACCCCTTCATGTCTGTATCTCTCATACAATGAAGATTGTACCTTTATGGACCAACCATGAACTGGCAATGGAACACCTAAAAGGTAAACAGTTTTCAGGAAAAACAGTCATCATCATTAAATATATGTCAAACCCGTGGTACCACTAAACTTATAGGTTTTCTACCTACATATTTTAATACATTGTTTAAAAGTTTGTTTTTTCATTCTTCCCTTCCATGTAAGCAAGGTCAGTTACCTGTATTTGTAATACCACTGTAGAAGGAGAGAAAATGAAAGACAGAACTGAAAGAAGAAACCAAACTTGTGTTTTGTATCTCTGAGAGGTTATTATGGAAAAGGAAAAATCCCTTGATTGTCCTTTTAAATTAATTATTATCAGTTTCACAATAGTAAATGAGGTAGTTAAGCATCCAGTGACCCTTCTATATATGCTGTAAATCTAGAAAGAAAATCACTTGCAGAGGTTTGCCTAAATTAGTGCTGACCTTGTCTTTTGTTGCTGTCTCAATTTAAAAACAGAGTAAATTTTATGCAACAGCATATTCTGGCATTTCCCCAAGATGCCATAGAATTATAGACATCAGCTTATGCTAAGAAACAAAAGATAAAATATAATCACATGGGGAACATGAATAAAGAGACTGTCTCATAGCCAGTAGGGCTGTGCAAAGCTTTGGAACAAGATTTGGATTTGGCGATGATTTGGAGGCCAAATCTATTAATCCAAATTGAATCGCTAGAAGCTTTAGGCTTTCCGAATCACTTTGGAGCTTCCGAATCTATTTGGAAAAGATTTGGTGATTTGGAGATTCAGCCATTGGGTATAATGGGGAATCAATGAAATATCTATAACTTTGTTGTTTTTTGTCTGGTTTGCATTAAACTTGCAGGGGTGGTAGACCCTGCTGAGGGGGTTTCTGGGAAACTGCACCTCAAAATCCTGAAAGCAAAACTCACATCACACGTGTGTGTGTGTGTGTGTTAAGCTACTGTGGGGTGAAAACTACGGGGATGGTAGCTTTTGCTGAGGCCATAAAGCCTGCCAAGTTTCAAGTAGATAGGTGCAGGGGTTTCTGGGAAACTGCACCTTAAGCTGCTGACAAGTAAAACTCATGACATGAGTGACACTCTGTGTGTGTTAAGGCACAGGGGGGTGAAAACTGCAGACTGCTAGCCCCTACTGCAGCCACAAGGCCTGCCAGCTGTCAAGGAGATAAGTGCAGGGACGGTCTGGGGTCCTGCACCGCTGGCCTCAGGCAGGCAAAACTCATGACATGTGTGCTTGTGGAACTGTGTGTGTGTTCAGATGTGCCCTTCCTGGTGCTGGAGCCTCTGAACAACATGACAGTGTGACTCCGTGAGGTGGCCTCCTCCCTTACAGCCTTGGCTTGGTCCACCACTGTAAACGACGACAGGTCAAAATAACTGAGCTGGCTTAACACCAATAGCACCAGCAGCATCAAAGGTATCCAGATGGGACTGTCACAGAGCCTTTCTTTTTATAAGGGAATTGACAGCAAGAAATAAAGATGTTGTGTTGGATATATGCTACTCGTGGTGTGTGATGGATTATCTTGTGTTTTTATGTTTATATGTTATGTTTATGTTTATTATGAAAAAACAGAAATAGAAAAATATATCTTAGAATATATCTTAAAATATATCATGCCCTCATGAGAGGCTACCAACCCTGTAAGTTTCATCCAAATCATCCAAAAGACAACAAAGGTATAGATATTTCATTGATTCCCCATTATACCGTATGGCCGAATCTCTGAATCGCCAAATCTTTCCCAAATCAATTCAGAAAAGTGATTTGAATCTTTAAATTGAATTGACCGAATCCGAATTGGCTGAATCCAAATAGGATAGTTGCCTGTTTGCACAGGCCTGTTACCTTTAGGAATCTGCAAGTGCAACCTGTCTGCTTAGTTATATTATGAACTGCTAGAAACCACCTTATTTTGTCATAAATTCCAGAAGTTTTGCCTCCAGACATTACAGTCTTACCACTTAGGTTGCTTGTGCTATACTATTAATACAAAAATATTGTGGGTAGAGGATGCTGCTATAAAAAAAAAAAGCATGATAATCGTGATGAGAAGCATCTCATTAAGATATAGTAGAAATATCAAAATATCTAACCTAACTTCAACTTCATGTTAAAACTACTAGTAACACTAGTAACTAGTTAGTAGTGATGCTAGTAATATTTTTTCTAGAATATATCACATTCAGTGTTTTACTATTCCAGATGATTTTGCATTCTTCAACTTTTTCAACTAAGCTATATTAAATATTCATTTAAAAATTAAAACATTAAAATCATAATTTTAAATCCATTTGGGGCTTTCACTTAATTTAGAAACATTTTGGTATAGTGGGGTCAACTGTCAAGGTCAGAACCAAGACCCCAGTCTTGCAAACACCATGCTGTGTGTAATATAAAAACACCAGGTCTTTAAGACTGCTTGTGACCTTGATATTAACCATGATCCTAAAGGATTACAGGATGAGGGAAAATATGAGGGGAAAAACTCATGTCATGTTTTCAGACTTTACTTTTTTGTTTTGTGTATTTTACTTATCATTTCTACAATGCCATATGCTTCTAATGAGGCCTGAAAACCTTACAAAACCATAGCTCTTCTTACATAATGTATTACTAAGGCATAATAGTGCATATATTTATGAAGTAATGAACGTGTGTAACTTTAATTTTTAAAGTAATTTAGCTTTAAATTCTTCCCTGTTTTTGTTTTGTTTTAATGTTCCCCTAGGAACCAACTTCACCCTGGCAGAACTTGGAATCTGTGAACCCTCTCCCCATCGAAGTGGTTACTGCTCAGACATAGGAATACTTCATCAAGGTTATTCCTTGAGTACTGGGTCTGATGCTGACTCAGATACAGAGGGAGGAATGTCTCCAGAGCATGCTATAAGGCTGTGGGGAAGAGGAATAAAATCCAGGCGCAGTTCTGGTCTCTCGAGTCGTGAAAATTCAGCCCTTACACTGACTGACTCTGACAATGAAAATAAGTCAGATGAGGAAAATGGTAGGCCTCTTTCTTTTACTATATGTCATAATATACCTGTGTAAGTGTGAAATGTAAAGATGCCCCAGAATTGTATATATATAACCGAGAGTATGTTTTATATTATTATAAACATTACTAGATCAGACATTATAGCATAAACATAACTTTCACTTTTTAAATGCTGTTTCTATACTCTAGAGAACTCGTGACCTATATCTAGAAAAGCATTCAGTAAGTTCTTAGGTATTGGTTTTGATAACATTTCTCATTATGATGTCTTCCAAATACTAGCTTTTTATGCTTCAATCTAGATAGCAATACTTTGCATGCATGTTGTCCACCAAACTTCAGGTAGAATCTGTGGACGTTAATTTTATAATGTCAGCAGTGAACAAACTTGTCAGGGGAAAAAATGTATGTGATATTTATATAAAGCATGAAATAAGATGAATAGTTTTCAGTATACTAACAGCATATAAATTGTCAAATGTAATTGGAGTGGATTTGAGTCCTGTGGGCATATTTTCATGAAATTATTAAGCTTTATATGTATCAGAGGTGGTTAATCATTAAAGGTAAGTATACAAGAGGTTCTGTTAACCAGATCTGTGCGTCAAAGTGATATGTACCTATATCTGTTTAATATAGTTTCTTATCTTTTTAACTAAAACAGGGAAAAAAAGATAAATTACACAATGCAGAACCAATGCATGAAAAACACATGGGCATTGTTTTGTACTACTTGAGCTAATTGCCCCTTGAAATGTTTACAAACCATTTAAATATTTTCTTATAAAGCAATTTTAAATTTGTCACAGCAAAACTGTGTGACTACATTTTTTTAAAAATAGAGCTGGTAAAGAGCTTGCTGTGAGGAGCAGTGCAGAGCATCCATTAATTCTCCATCCTATGGTGTGGGCAGAGAAGGAGCCCAAGTCACTTTACAAAATGAAACAAAACCAAGTTTAATTCTAAAGTGAGCTATTTTAAGAAGATAAGGAGAAACCCCAACAATGCTGCCATATAAAGCAGCTGCTTGACACCAGCTACTGTAATAGATTCCCTTTTACACTATCTGTTTCATTTAAAACTGTACTTTTATGGAACATTCAGCTATTTCAGTTACTCATCAGAAGAGAGTCTTTCTTTCTTTTTTTTATTCTAAGCTTTTTTTTACCTGACTTGAATTCTTAATATATTAAAGTGATAGTCTTTCATTCTTTCTTTTTTTTTCAATCTCAAGAGTGCCAATGTGTTAGTCATATACAAAGAAAGCAAACAGTTGTGTAAGAAAGCAAACCTATTCTAGCCAGTGATTTGATTTGCTTTAATGCTGTCATTAAAAGAGTGTTTTCAGGGGACCAAATGTCACTTCTGTCAGCATCCTCAGTGATCTGACCCAAAGTCCACTGAAGACAATACAACCATTGACTTTAAGGAGGCTTTGCATGAGGGTCCATATATTCAGTACTTCAAATGAATGTATGTGGACTACTGAAGTTTTGTCTTAGTACAATTGATCTCAGTCTTTGGGCTTGCCATCTAATTTTATTGAGATCAATGTTTGTTTCATTGACCTCAGTGGAAGCAAGATTTAACTTGCAACGTTTTTCACCATTTGAACATATCTATGCAGATATCCCTGGTTTTGATCAGATAATGGATTTCTTTTTAGTTGTGCTTTTTATGAAATACCAACTATTATGAATTTGACAATAGATAACAATGAATGAATTTCGAAAAGGTAATTTTTGAAATTGTAATGTTAA